TTTGCTGTCGCGCTGTACTTGTCAGGTCAAAGGTCGCTGACCTTTGACTTTCACGTAACCTCTAGCAACTGCTCAACCTCCGAGGGTTGACTCGCCGGTGCTTCGATATACTTCGCTTCGCTTCTGACTTGGTGTTTCGACACGACAGAGGCGCTTAGAATTAATTGTTTCCAACAGCACAAACCTCATGCCACTCAGATCGTATTGTCAAGAATGAAAGTGTAGGTTTGACTAAGGTTGGTTGGGGTACATAAACCTAACCCTAACATTTGTACCCCCTATAACACACCTCATTAAGACTACCACATCTGACACACCCCCATAGTCTAAGTGAGGGGTGTCAAGCAAAACCTGAAGTGTACGGTCACAAGACCAGTCACAACGAAACAAAGCTCAGGGTGGATCACAACGTGACCACACACTCCGAGCACAAGCAAAAGAGCCACAAGGCTAGTTCAAGAGTTCACAGAGGCATATATAAAGCGTACAAACAAGGCAAGCAGATAACTCAAGACAACGTAAGGCGAGAACCTGTGTCAACGAGACCTAACTGCACACAACACCTCTGGTGGTCACAAGGCGGAAGCGCCTTGGTGAAGATGTCTGGAGTGTTGGCCTCGGACTCCACAAAGTCGAAGCGAGCCTGTCCACGCTTCTGCAACTCTCGCATAAGAAACTACCTGACGTTGATGTGCTTCACTCTACTCTCCAGTCGCGGCTCTCGACAGAGGAGAATCGACGCCTTGTTGTCAGTGAACAAGGTCGGTGCAGAGCTCGGCTGCTCACCAAGGTCGGTGAGCAAGAAGGTCAACCAACGCAGCTCCTGTGCAGCCATGGCTCCAGCGTAGATCTCAGCCTCAGCGGTAGAGGTCGAGACCGAGGAGGAACGCGTGGACCTCCACGAAACAGCTCCAGAGCCCAGGCTAAAACAGTACCCCTGAGTAGACCTGTGAGTCTCGGCGTCATCAGCGTAAGAAGAGTCACAGTGTCCAGTAAGTACAACAGACTGCTGCCCTCCAAGAACCAGCCCCACGCCTGATGTCGTCGCTAGGTACTTTGCCACCCTCACAGCAGCTGTCCAGTGAACTGGACGGTGTCTCCCTGGTGCAACAAAGCGAGCCAGGATGCTGAGAGGGAAGGCGAGGTCCGGGCGAGTACAAGTCATCAGGTACATGAGGCAGCCCACAAGCTCTGCGTAAGGACCACTAGGCTCAAACGGCTCGTTAGGGAAGGGTCCAGTGAGTCTGTGGTCAACAGCAAGAGGTGAACGCTGTACTGTGGAGTGCTGAAGCTCGAACCGCTGAAGGACCTGCTGCACCATGTGTGACTGTGAGAATGTAATGGTGCGAGCGGCTCTGTCCCTGGTGATCTGCAGGCCAAGGTAGTGGCGCAGCTCACCAAGGTCAGTGCACGTGTGTCTCTTCTGCAGTTCGCGCTTCACGTCAGCCAAAGCAACCCTGTCAGCAGTGGCGAAAACCAGGTCGTCGACGTAGACCAGTACAAAGAACGGTGTGGAGCCACGCCGAACAAACAGCGACGGGTCGGCAGAAGACGGCTGGAAACCGAGGTCAGACAGGGTAGAACGAAGGGTGTCGTGCCACTCACGAGGAGCCTGACAAAGGCCGTAGACCGGTCGCCTCAGCCTCCGCTGGGTCCCAGGAGGGAAAGTGCCGGTGAAGGCAGAGGGACGACGCAGCCAGACCTCCTTGTGTAGGCTACCCTGAAGGAAAGCAATGGAGAAGTCGAGAGAGTGTAACTCGTAGTCTCTCTGTGCTGCTACGTGCAGTAACACCCGAAGAGTGTTCATCTTCGGGGTAGGCGCGAAGGTCTGAAAGAAGTCAACTCCCTCGCGCTGACTGAAACCTCTAGCCACATAGCGCGCCTTGAAGACCGGAGGAGATCCCGGTGGCCGCTTCACCCTGAAGATCCACATGCCATCGACTACGTTCGCCCCAGGGGGGGGAACCTCGTCGACGTAAGTGCCTGTGGATCTGTAGGATGCCATCTCTGAGTCCATGGCAGCTCTCCACTGAGAGACCCAAGGCCCTGACACTGCCTCAGCGTAAATGCGAGGAGTCGGTATGTCAAGGGCGTCGGGGTCTCCCTCAGGGGCGAGCAGCATGGCACAGAGATGAGGGGAAGCGGCTGCCAGGAACTCCAGCTCAAACTGCCTGTCCTCTAGGGCGTCACAAAAAAGGGCAGACTCACCCCCGACGGCCAGAGGACTGGTAGGAGGAGCAGCCACAAGACTGGTGGCGTAGTCAAGGCGGCGAGTAGAGGCAAACTCAGTGACTGCGGCAGTAAGAGCGGAGACAGAGGACAGAGAAGCACGTGGGTCGGTAACAAGAGAGGCGAGAACACGAGAGAGAACAGGACGGTACGTGCGGTAGTAGTCCGTGAAAGGAGTAGAGAGGGAAGCAGCGAGAGCCGACTCAGGAGGAGAAGGAAGTACCGAAGGAGACGAACGAGGCGGACTAGAACGAAACAGGGCAGTACGAAGGTCTGAGAGAGGGACAGGGGACAAGGGACGAGCACGAGGAGAGCGAGAAGTCCAAGCGTGAGAAAGAGGAGGGGACAACGGAGGCTGAGAACGAGGGAAAACAGCTGGAGTGGGGTCAGGAGGAGGAAACGTGGGACCGTAGACAGGAGGAGAGGGAGAGGGGGGAGGAGAGGGAGAGGGGAGACCGAGGGTCCGAAGACCAGAGACTGGAGGAGGAGGTGGCGGCTGCTGCTGCTCTTGCTGCTGCGGCTGCTGCTGCGGCTGCTCCTGCTCCGGCTGCTGCTGCTCCGGCTACTGCCGCTGCTGCTGCTGCTGCTGCTGCTGCTCCGGCTGCTGCTGCTGCGGCTCCTCCAGCCGCTGTAGCTCCAGCTGCTGCCGCTCCAACTCTCTCTCCTCTTGCTCCAACTCCAGCTGCTCCTCACGGGCACGGCGAACACGGGCCTGGTGCCGGGTCGGGTAGGGGTGGGGGGGAGGAGTAGTGTCCGGAGCGGTGGTAGCCCCAGGACCGCCCTCCAAAGAACCAGTCATACCACCCCTAGAGCCAGCACCACCAGCAGCAACACGGCCAGTCCCAGACTCTCCCGGTCCCGTAGGGGGCGCACCCGCACCCCCAGGGACAGCGCGACGAACACCATCTCCCTGAAGACTAGAACCTCCTGCAGACTCGGGCTCAGCTCCAACGCCAGCACCCCCGGCACCAGAACCTCGTGGAGGCACACTCTCAGCTCCAACTCCCACCCCTCCAGAGGTAGCACCCCCAGGGTCCTCGACACGAGCACCTGCTCCCGCAGGGTCTGCAGTAGGCTGTGAGGAGGACTGTGGGGAAGGGGACGGCACCTGGGGGGCTACCGAGGGGGGAGGGGTAGCGTGTGACACACCTGACGGGGCTGGACCAGGGGGGGGGGGGGCTGTACCGGAGGGGCAGGAGAGGGGGCGGGAGTCAGGAAGAGAGGGGGAGGAGGAACCGAAAGACCTCGACAGGGGTACCGGGTGTAGTAGGGGACTGACTCGACAAAACGAACGTCGCGAGAGTCAAAGAACCGGTGAAGGGGAGGGTGGTAAAAGGTGAAGTCAGAGGAGTCCACGGGGAAACCAAGGAAGACCCAGGGAAGGGCGCGAGGGGAGAGCTTATCCGCGGAGGTGTCGCGAACAAGCGCCAAGCAGCCCCAGACACGAAAACGCGACGCAGCACCAGGGGACCCGGTCCAAAGACTGGTCGGTGAAGCCCCTGGCCGAGAGACACGTGGCCAGAGGTTCAGCTGGTGAGCGGCGTACCAAACCGCGTAGGGCCACAGAAAATGGGGTACATAAACCTAACCCTAACATTTGTACCCCCTATAACACACCTCATTAAGACTACCACATCTGACACGTATTCCAACGCTCGGACACCATCCGAAGTACCGCCATCCGAACTTCTTGGGGCTAGGGATGGTGTCTGTGTGGGGCAGCCCCCACTCTGGACATCTGGCGTCGCAGGGTGGGCAGGAACGGTCGTATGCGTCGCCTGACGCACAACTGGTATGGGGTGAATCGCGTCCAATTAAATCTGCCAGAGAGTGTCGCTGTATTGACTGCCGAACTGCCATCACTGACTGCGCGGGCAGTTTTAGAATTTTGTGTGATTGCTGGCTGTGTGTCTCTAGCTGGGAGTTCAAGTACACTTTGCGTGGTTTTGGTGATTGTACAACCGACTCACATGCGGGGCAGCGACAAAAACGATTCTTACTATTATTGACGGTGTTGGAACACATACACAACCTGTCAAGTTCAGTGGCCCAATCAAACAGCGAGATGGGCCTAAACCCGCTGTCGCAGATGGACACGCAAAGCAGTCGCAGGTTCCGTAACCGTCAGCTTCAAGGTGTCCGGATGCCGGACCGCGTGGCGTAACATTGAAATTCAATCTACAACATTGCGGACCGCGTGGGAGAACTTCGGATGGTGTCCGAGCGTTGGAATACGCCCTCACTCACAGTCTGTGAGGAAAATCCTGCATATCACAAGCTGAGATACATGCATGTACACTTATGGCAAAACATCACCAGCCATCTCATTTCCCACTTATATCTCGCCGTAACCTCAACGCCTTCTCATTTGCCACGCGGAGAGTCCCCAGGGTTGAGCCATTCCCGCCAAACCAGCAGCCCTTTTCCCCCCCACCCCCTCCGCCTCTATGCTCCCCAACTCCCCCAACCGCACTGTGCCCCTCTCCTCCCCCGCCCCGGACACTTCGGCGCCACTGCCCTGCACGTCTGCTCCTTCCGCCTTAACCGGAATTGCCGTCTCTGGCGCCGCCACAGGCGCGCGCCCGAGTTTGCGGTTCTGGCCGGAACGCGCGGCAGCACCCGCAGCTCCTGCGACTACCGTACTAGACCGAGCTTCACTCGCGCTACTACCTCCGTTCGGACTTCCATTAACGCCTACATGTGATTTAGTCTCTAGTCCACCGCGGTTACCAGGGTTGCTCCTATTCCTGCGGGTATCCCACAACTCGATGTCATATCCGCTGCCCGCTCGCGCGCGCGCTTCGTCTGCCGCAATCAGCGCCGATTGCTCCGGGCTGAAAATATGCTCCACGAACGTCAGCACGAAAAAAAGACCCACCAGAAGCACCAGCATCGGCAGCATCACCCCCTCCGCTCCGTCACCCGCCCGCCCGCCCTTGCTTCCGCCGCACACCCCCCTGCGACTCCTGCTGCTCTTGATTTGCTGCCGGTCATGGCCCTTCCGTCCGAAGTGTCCGCGCACCCAGGGGTTTCCGCTGCTTCGCGTGGCAGGCGCGGGGAGCAGAGACTGGCTGGACGGCGGGCGGGGCGGCTTCGCGGCGCATTTCAGCGCGCGGCTAGAAGCGCGATCGCGTGTGGGGACGTCGGGTGCGATAGCAACGCCTCTTTTGGTCTGGGGAGTAAAGAACGACGCGAGTTGTTCCAATAACGAGCCTGCGTCAGCGGTACGAAGCTCACCGCGTGAGGGCGAAGGTCGAAGCCCCGATACTGTCACACTCGGTGCGTGAACCTTACTGTGACCCGAGCTCTCTGTCGCGCCGGAGAACGGTCGCGCGGAGAAGCTTCCGCCATCTCCGCTGCTGCGCAGCACGCTCTTCCGCCGTTCGCGGGAGGGACTGAGGCTCCGCTGTAGCGGCTGTTTCACCACCTGTGTTACGATCTCCTGCTCCTGGTGTTGCTGTTGCGGCTGCTGCTGCTGCTGCTGCTGCTGCTGCTGCTGCTGCTGTCCCAACCGTCCGTCACCATCCACCTCCCAACAGTTCCCTTCCGCCCGCAGAAGCTGCTGGTCCTTCTTCGATTGCGCAAGGTCGATCGCGCATGGGGGGTCAGGTAAAGCACTAATGTAGGCGTTGGCGCTGGCGGCGCTACTACCGGCGGTGGGGGTGTAAGCAGTCCCGGGGATGACGGGGAGAGCAGGCGGAGCGAGGGAAATGGGCGGGGTGGGGAAGAAGCATCCGTATTCAAGCGGCTGCTCAGGATGCGCGGAGGGGGGAGGGCTGGGTGCGCGCGGGCTGGGGGTGAAATTCCAAGCCTGAAAGAGGTGCGGATGGATGGAGCGAGAGGAGGGCGAGAGGAGGATGGAGGCGACGGAGGCGGAGATATCGTGGGTTAGCGCCACGAACGGTAGCATATGTTCGCTCTGCGGACTGTACGGCGGCGCGCCTGGGTACGCGGCCGCGGCTGCCTGTTCCATCGATGCGCGAGAGCTAAGATTTCGAGAGAGTCTGAGACTGGATTTTCGCGGGCTAGGTTACTTAAGAGTCTGTTTGCGCCTTCTGGGACACGCTGTTCCTCAAATTACTGAAGCTCACTGCTTTCGCCAACAGGGGAGGAATTAACAATCAGAAAGCGGGGCGATTTCAACCTAGGCCTAGGCCTGCGATTCCTTTTTACACCAAGCCCAACGATGCCAGAGACGGGAATGGGAAGGGTAGGGAGAGCAGCAGTCGCCGTAGGTGCCAAGAACCATCAGTCGACTGCGTGGGTTGGAGCGAGGAGAGGGGAGGTGGTAGTGGTGAGGCGGGTCGTTACACCAGCCAGTGGCGCAATGCTTGTTCCAATGGTGCAGGTGGTGGGGCAGCGTTGTGGGGTGATTCGGGTGGTGGAACCACCAGAGCCAGCTGGGCTAGGGCTAGACAGGGGAATGAGGGATGGGGGGAACGAAGGAATAATTGCGCGTTTCGGCGGAAGTGAAGCAGCGTGTGTGGTAAGGGATGGGTGGAGCCGCCTGTGCGGTGCGCGCGAGCCCTCTCAGCTGCATGAAGAGCGCGTGCCTTTCCCCCCTCTAACCAGCTATTTTTTCGCTGGCTCAGGTCAGGTCGTAGAGTTGCTGACGGGGAAAATGCTTTTTATTTTGAATTGCCACCACGCGTCGTGTCGTTCACTTCAATTGTGACGGACTTGGTGTAGCTTCCGCCGATCACTCGCCAGAGGGAGGGGCACTGTTGGCCAAATCGGTGTACCCTGTACCACCGTTTGGCTATGCAGGGTGGGTTTTGGGTAGCTGAACTGTTTTTGGTGGGTGCTCCAGAGATGCGGTGCGGCGACCCACCTGAACGTTCGCGAACGACCGACGCACACAGCCTGACCGATCAGCGCCGCGGACGACGCGGACGACGTCCCTCCTTGACCGCCACATCGGTGCAACTTTCTTTGATGAGGCAGCTTTGTAGGACCTCCGAATCCCGATCTGCCCGTGAAGTCGAATGCATCGACGGCAGTGAGTGTCCGTCCTGCCCACGCCACTCCATCGCAGCACAGACCCGCCTTGGTTTGGTTGACACTTGCTGTGTGAAACCTCAAGAGCCTCGTTTGAAGAACCGACAGCCTACCTGCGACTCGGAAATAGTACATGCCACAGCGTCCTTCTTGCAGTTTACTGGCGGATCTTCCTTGCGTGTATAGCGTACTCTCTGTAGACCATTCCCAGTACCGTATAAATATTAATCCATTAATTCACAAATATATTTGAATAATGGTGCTGGTTTACAGCCTCTCACAATGCATGTCATACCTTATTTTCCATAATACAGGACAACCATATAGTTATGGTACTGAATTAAATTGGGGTCCCAAATTTGAGCCATTCTCGTATGGTTGCCGTCGATTTATTCGCTATATTCCTATAATTTTCTATACCGAATGTAACAATTAAAGAATAAAACTAGAAAAGAAACAAGAGATAAAAACAAATCCGAAGACACCACCATCCATGCAAATTGTCAGCGAGCCATTCCCAACAAAGCTGGGGTGAGGATGCATTTTTTGCAAGACAATACCATCTAATGTGAATGGAAATACAATAGGGCACGTAGACTTCATCCACCCAACATGCTACACCCACGGCCACACTCACAGGGTTATGCTGTCGACCCATCCCTCGCTATGGACCAAGCAGCGCCACGTCGCTTCACACCATCCACAACCACCGAGTCGCGCCTCTTGGAAGAAATGGGTCGTCCTCTTCAGTCATTGCTCGTGAGTCGTGTGCCCCTCCCCCCCACGACATCTCATTTCTATCCCAGTTTCCGCTTTTGCTGCTACGATCCTCATTCACCTTGGCAAAACACTGCCATTCCGAAGTCGTACTGCTAAACACCCAAGCATGGCGTTCACTGCTTCGCTCCCGCTCTCTCAAAGGGTTGCCGTCGACGGGCTTTGCCGTGCCCCTGGAACCGCGGCGCCGCTAACGAGCACGTTTCATGCATCTCGCAGCGCCAGGTGCGCTGTGAATTTAAAATCTCCTCGCAACCTGCGCGAAATGTTAGTATCGCTCGCTAAGCACATTGCGGATGCGCTGCTCGCATGACCTCACCCCATAAGGTTACGGGAACCGGTCAGTATGGTAGCTCTTGAAAAAATCAAAGAAATGCCAACTTGGTCGCATAACCTTACTCGACCACTCTCCATCTCCCTGCTTCGAGACGGAATTTCACAGCGTTCCTTTCTCCAATTTTTCGTTCCCCCCAGCGGGATGCTCGCGCTACCCCCGCGCGCGGCGTTTCGCGGAGAGGCGAGCGCAAAGGGAGCGGCGGAAGAGCGAGAACGGTCCGCTGCAGCGGCAGGCGCAGTGGCGGGCGCGGGTACGGGGGAAGCAGTTGGGTTGAGCCGGCGCGTTTTGCTGATAGGAAGCGGAGTGGTAACAGCTGTTGGACCGTGGTTCGCGGGTGCGTGATTTTCGGGGTGTGCGGATTCCGGGTGCTAGCCTGAATAAGTGGAGTTTAGATGAGACATCTCAATCCCGCGTGGGTGGGCCGTGGTTTCCCAGAGGTATGCTGAATAAGTTGCTCGCACGAGGAGAAAGACTCTATTAGACAGAATCTAACGACTGTTGCTGTGCCCGTTCTTCTCTGTACTTACATTCTCCCTGGCTTAAACCTCCGTAGTATCTTGTTTCGCCCTCCCTTGTTTATCCCCCTTCTTGTTCCCCTTCATTTCCCCCCATTCCCTCCCTCATCCCCCTCCACCTTCTTGACTCCCTCCCCACATGACTCCCCCCTCCGCCTTCCCCGCGCTCGTCGGCTGGGCCCAGCAGGCGACGTGGCGCGCGCAGCTGACGTGGCACCCCAAAGGTCAGGCTGGATGTGAGGGAGTGTGAGGAAGTGTGAGGAAGTGTGAGGGAGTGTGAGGGGGAAAGAGCGCAGGGACGAGAGGGAGCTCGGGAGCAAGGGAGTGAGGAGCGAGAGGGGGTGTGGGGAAGTGAGAGAGGCCGCTGCCCGGATGGGAAGGGCACATGGAAGAGAACATTCGGATAGCCTGAGGGCGGAGCCACACGTCCATGGCACAGGTGATGCCTGAGTCCTCTCAGCACGAGTATGCTCGCTTGCTGCTGTCCTCTTGTGCTCCTTGCCTTTCTTTGCCCTTCCTTACCTTTCCTTGTCCCCCCAGAAACCCCTTAGTGTATTGTGGCTCCCCCATCCACTACCTTCCATCCCTCCCATCCCATCGCATCCCATCCCATCCCATCCCATCCCATCCCATCCCATCCCATCCCATCCCATCCTATCCCATCGCATCCCATCCCATCCCATCGCATCCCATCCCATCCCATCCCATCCCATCCCATCCCATCCCATCCTATCCCATCGCATCCCATCCCATCCCATCGCATCCCATCCCATCCCATCCCATCCCATCCCATCCCATCCCATCCCATCCCATCCCATCCCATCCCATCCCCTCCCCTCCCTTCCCATCCCGTCCCGTCCCATCCCATCCCATCCCATCCCATCCCATCCCATCCCATCCCATCCCATCCCATCCCATCCCATCCCATCCCATCCCATCCCATCCCATCCCATCCCATCCCATCCCCTCCCCTCCCCTCCCGTCCCGTCCCGTCCCGTCCCATCCCATCCCATCCCGTCCCATCCCATCCCATCCCATCCCATCCCATCCCATCCCATCCCATCCCATCCCATCCCATCCCATCCCTATCACATCCCATCCTTGTCATCTCGTTGTTCATCGCGTTGCCCCTCTGTGCCCTCCTCTTAGGTACTTCAAGACTCCCTCTGGTGCCACAGTCGAAGGTATGCTCTCTTACATCCCTCACATCCCGCACCTGCCCTCACATCCCGCACCTGCCCTCACATCCCGCACCTGCCCTCACATCCCCCACCTGCCCTCACATCCCCCACCTGCCTCTTACCTCCCTTTCTTACACGCACTCACTCCCACCCTCACACACCCGCACACACCCGCACACACATGCACAAAAGCGCGATCTTCCTCACACCTCTCCTCCCACTCCTCCCCCACTCACTCAGAGGTATACGAGGGGCAGGGCGAGGCGGCAACAGCAGGAGATGCGGTGACTGTGCACTATGTGTGCCGCAGATCCAATGGCTATTTTTTGGCCAGGTGAGCTGGGTGGCTGGCTGGGTGCACTACGGTATCTTCACCTGCTGGTTTGCAGTAACTTGAGCTCGACTGTGCTGCGATATGTCGCCACCCTTGCTCCTGCTACTGCTATCCACTCCCACTCTGCACACGCATGCATGCTCACCTCACCCATTCCCCACCCTTCCGGCCCTCCTCCTCCTCCTCCATCCTCCAGCACCATTGACCCAGTGGGAGGGGATGCGGACCCCATAGACCTGCTGCTAGGCCAAGGCCAGGTGCGCACCATGACCATTTCGTAACGCGTTTACATTCTAGATTAATTTCTACACATGGTGCCTTTTGGACCAGGAATTTTAAGCACAGCCTCGTCTCACCTCCGCAACTCTCTCTCGTTCCTCATGAAGCCTCCCTCCTGCACTCTCAATCTCCCACACACTCTCAATCTCTCGCTCTTTCTCTCTCCCCCCTCCCTCTCTCCTCACTCGGCTCTCTCCTCCGGTGCATCAGGTGATTCAAGGTCTAGAAGAGGCGGTGCAAGGAATGAGAGCAGGAGGTAGGCCACATCCATGCCCTTCCATGGTGCACTTCCTTCAACTCATGCCATACGCTCGTGCCGAAGCATTGCAGTGCACACATGCCAAAGCACTATGCTCTTGCCGATGTGCTCACGTTCTGTGTCACTGCAAAAATACATGTGAACCCATGCGCATGCCTATCCTTGTCACACCACACGACACATACTCGCATAGTCGCCATGCGGTAAATCGCTGCCATTTTTCAACCCCCCTGTTTCCTGTGTCCCCTCTGTCCCCCCCCCCCCGTCCCTTCTGTCCCTTGTGCCCCCTCTGACTCCGTGATTACCCTCTCTCACCCTCTACTCACCTTTCCATCCCTCTCAGGCAAGCGCAGGGTGCTCGTTCCCCCTTCACTGGGCTACGTCAGACCAGACATGCAGCCGCAACCCAAGGATGTGAGTGCGTGTGTGTGTGTGAGTGTGTGCATGCGTGTATGCACGTGCGTCAGTGTGTGTCTGTGTGTGAGCACGCACACGAGCGTGTGTGCCTCTCTCCATGCTCGTGTGACCAAATGCCATCATCCCAGAGTCTACATATTGCTTTCTTGCCTTTTTTACCTTCCAGAAACCCATTATCGAATCCGTGCCTCTCTTCTTATCGCATCAAATTTGCACACCACCCCCCCACTTCATCCCATGCTGACTGTCCCCCTTGCAGTATTTCCGGCAGCGTGCATTGGCAGCCCATGTGAAAGAGCCACTGATATTTGAAGTGCAGCTTATCAAGGTGAAGCCTGGGGCTGCTGCCACTGCTGTGTAAGATACAGAGAGGTTCTGCGGTTGTTTAAATCCTAGAAAGAACAGTGTGCTTGCTTTGATAAATAAACAACAACGCATCTGCTACAATGGTTGCTACAAGAAGCCTTGTCCATATATTCTGACAGAGCCGCTGAGAGAATTTCAGTTGAGATATTACAAGACCCGCCGTATTGTATACATGTCTTGCAATTATCAACAGTCATATACAGCACATGCCTGAAGTGACTCCAGCACATTTCATCTCTTCAATTGCCTACGGTACTCCTTGCCCTTACACGTCATTACTAGATGCTCCATTACAAGCTGCCCCATTAGTAGCAGCATGTTGCGCAGCATCAGCTCCACGTGCACCACCACACGAGGGCAAGAACCCATGGTGCTCCAGGTGTTCTATAAGCGTAGCAGCCATGGCTTCCGGTGACTGCATGGCATCCCCCTCCCCTGCCACCTCCATCACCACCTCTGCTGCTGTGGGCTCCTCATAGGGGTCATCTATGCCTGCACACGCGCACAGGGGGAGAGGAGCACAGGCGCATAGGCGGATAGGAGGATAGATACGGCTACTGAGTGCCCAAGCCCTGGGAGATGTGGTGAAAAGTAGAGTAAGTGGTAGTGCCGCGTATGCCAAGGCAGGGAAGGACGGGGTCAGGAAGAAGAGATTGGGAACTAGTCCTCAGGGACTGATATTCAGACACAGGTAGCAGCACAGCCCAAGTGCTCCTATAAAATACCCTAACCTGCAGCACAACAAACACCGCCTCCAACTCACCAAGCCACAAAAAACAACCCACCCCGCACACAATCATACGCGTTATAATCTCACCCGTGAAGCCCTTTATTATGCCAGCTCGGGCCTTCTTGTAGAGCCCCTTGGGGTCCCGGTGCTCGCACACGGCCAGGGGTATCTTCATAAATACCTCGATGAACGTCCCTGGGTCCAGCAACGCCTGCGCAGCCGCCCGGTCCTTGCTGCCAGTGCGCAGAAGGGGAGAGTAGGGGGGGAAAGGGAGGGAGAAGGGGCAAGGGAAGGGAGGGACAAAGGGGGAAGGAAAGGAGGGAAAAAGGGGAAGGAAAGGAGGGAAAGGGTTGTTAGGATCAGACGGGATGTCTGCAGCGAGGAATGCGAGCGGCTTAACACGCATGTAGAGAGGTAGACTTCACCTACATAATTTGAGAGCAAGCACGTGCTCTGTACCTGTAGGGCGAGATGAAGCTGACGATTGTAATCACACCCGAGTCAGCAAATAGCTTTGCCACCTCGGCTACTCGACGGATGTTCTCCTCTCTATCCGCAGCGCTGCACATGGCGAAGAAATGCATTAAAACAATGAATTTCGACTCCTCAGCATAAATCAAGACGATTTCAAGCACATTATCAGCATAACCCAAATGCGGCCGCAAATTTGTCTATCCGGCGCCAACCCGGCATGGATAAACGACGTCGGGAATGCGCGGGTACCTGAATCCGAGGTTCTTATTCAGGCCGTGCCGAATGTTATCTCCGTCCAGCACCACGGCCATGCGGCGTCGCTCCATGAGCGCGTGCTCGAGTGTGTACGCCAACGTGCTCTTTCCCGCGCCGCTCAGCCCCGTCATCCAGATCACGCACCCGCGCTGCCCTAGCAACCGTTCCCTGCACGCGGTTTGATAGTAGGTCAGCACGGGGAAATCCGATTCGGTGTAAGAGACAAAAACGTTCTGATAAGAGATATGCTGCTGCCGGAGAGACGCACGCTGCGGGACGTACCGCTCCTCCTTGCCGACTTTCGTCTCGTGCCACTTGATATTTGTAGAGCTGCCGACCGTGTACACTTGAGGCGGTTCGCCTGCTGCCGCCATGGTCACTTCCGTGCCGTCTCCAGCAGGAGGCGCCATTGCCACGTCCAATAGGTCTTGATCGGGCGACAGCGTCACGATGCTGCGTGTTCTCGATGGTAGCGACGAGTTGAGCGAACGTCGTGCGGAGTCTTCAGACAACACACTCACGACGGAAAGACGACAGGATCCTAGGCGCGGAGGCTGCTTAGCTCGCGAAGAAAACGACCCGAATTGGCCTAGGAGCGGTGCAGAATTCGCCTTCAAACCAGTGACAGCCGGAGAGCACCTAGAAGGTATTTTTTTAGTTGCCCTCAGAGATGCTCCTGCGAATTCTGGGATAGCATGGCAGCTCAACCTTGGGAGCTGCTGGAGGGTTGCATGACACGAAAACATTGGCGTCGTCTCGGGCAGGTCTCTGGGAGAAACCTGGGGCCTCCCTGTGGTGGAGCAAATTGGTGGTGAATCAACGGCCACGAGAAAAACCACGCTGAGAGCAACGGCTGGATGGGAAGAGAAGCCACAAGATCTTGGGTGCTTTTCGGAACAGCCAGGAGCTTCTTTCTGCCCGCGATTGACAGGGAAATTGATGTGTGGTGTGGGCGTATCGAATGAAGAAATTGCGAAGTGGGGTGGAGGCTTTTATGTATGTGGAGGACTTTCCACAGATGTGGCACACAGCGGTGGTGCTGGGGGTTGTTTTGATGTGTCATGGAGGAGCACGAAGGAAAAGCATTCGCGGTTTGAACTTTTCCAGATTCCGAGGACTGTGAGGACATAGCGATTCGTCGGGTGACAGAATGCGGCGGATCGGGGCACCAAGTAGGGTGTTCCTTGAACCGACCAGCTGCCCCACGAACGTCCCATCCCATTCCAAAGCATTCCAAGTTTCTGACAACAAAAGCTCCAGTACAAGATTCATTGTGATGGGTTCGAGCTTTCTGTGCATACCAAGGCAAGCACGCCATAAATATTCATACATGAATACCAGCTGTGGTGTTGTACAACATACTAGTATGCCATGTTGAAAGGGCCCTGCTTATTCACCTGTCACCCTATTTATATAATTGTTGAAAGAGCAGCCATGCCCAAGAAACCCCTCATGTATCACGAAACTGTGTGTTATGAAGTGTATTCGGGTATAGCAATGATACTTCACACTGCATAGAAATACTAATCACCCGCCTTAAACCCATATTATGAGTTTCCACTGCTTTTAATGTCATATTTTCTGTCTGAAGAGTATGTAGTTGTGGTAACTGCAGCTGGGGCCACGGACTCAGCAGAACACGCATTTGGTTTCAGCCTGATCGGGCCATTCCTGGGATCCAAGGTAAGGTCATTGAACGTCTCTATGACTCTCCGAGCATTCTTCAACACAATTTCATCCACTATCCACTGATGTGGGACAGAGATGCACATGCAGAAATGCACACCAGCACAGAAAGACCAGCGTTTTCATTAATATACACCCGACAAAGCATCCAAGCACACACGCTAAACAAAATATAAAATGAGTGCAATTCCACCAACACGAGATTGCGCCGAGCACATGCATGATTGTAAACGAGACAACAAGGCCTTGAGTTGAGACGTATCTCACCTGCATGTGCGCATCAAAGACCGGCTCAGTCTCGTTCATCTTGAGTTGCTGCATGAGCGCACGGCACTCGTTGTACCAGTGGCTCCCCGGCGCCCAGAGGTGGCGGTAGTCGGAGAGCACGTGGATCTTGTAGAGCGAGGCGAGCGGGCTGAAGAAGCCCGGCGTGCACTCGTTCGACGCTATGTACACGTGGCGCCCCGGCGCTATGAGCTTGGCAAGAGTCTTGAGAAGGCTGGAAGGAAGCAGAAGGTGTTAATGGTGGGCCACGTGGGTGAGGAAGTTGATGAGCTGAAGACGTCAGGAGGGTGCTGGTGGTAGTGATATGCTGATTGTGTGTGTGTGTGTTTGTGACAGAGAGAGAGGGAGAGAAAGAGAGGCAGAGACGGAGGGAGGGAGAGAGAGGGAGAGGGGGAGAGGGGGAGAGAGAGAGAGAGAGAGAGAGAGAGAGAGAGAGAGAGAGAGAGAGAATGATTAGCCTCTCCCCTTCTGCCTTTGCACTCACCCTTCTGCCCTCTCCCATGAGTACTTAAAGGCTCTCGTGGCTTCTTCATCCTTAGTATTCAGTTCATTCTGAAAAATTTTCGCGCTTCGCGCCGGCGCTCGCGTGCGCGGCCTTCGGCCGCGCGCTCGGGATGACAAGGGGGAACAACAAGCAGTAGTTTAGGCATCAGACACAAGCAAGGCAAGCATCGACACCTAGCAACACGATAATGGAACGGGTCTACACGCGCAAGGGGGGAGCACCTACATGCGGTCCGCGTCTACCGCAGCGAGCATTCCGCTCGTGTTCAACCACAATTGGCGGACCACTAACACGGTGGCGCCTACAACGTCAACGAGAGTACCAGGACCTGCTACAAGCGTCCTCAGAGCCAGGGCCGAGTCAGCCAGCTGGCTGGCCGAGGCTGCTCCCGGCGAGGGCTCTACCTGCAGTGGCGTTACGAGCGCGAATAGCGCTGACGCCGCCGCATGACAATCAGCTCGCGGTTTCTGAGAGAACCTGCTCGGAGGGCTCACCGGCATGGAGTCATATGACTCCTGGAGAATCCGCTCAAGGCTCTGCAGGGACGCCGCCAGCGACCATAGGCGGGCCAGGGTCGCCGTGGGAATTCTCTTCATCGGCGGAAGCAACGCGGACGAGCGGGCACGGTGAGACGACACGGCGAGATCACGCGGAGCAGGAAGAGGACGCGGCGGTTCATACTGAGCCCACGGCAGCCCGCCACCAGCGCCTACGAAGCCCATTCCCGCAGGCAGCGGCCGATCTGAGCGCGCCGGGGATCCGAATGGATTGTGAGGCAGGAGCGCGGAGAGAGGGACGACGGGAGCAGCGCGAGGAGCTGGGGGTGACGCCGACCCCGCACGTGAGCGACGAAGCTCCTTCTCCACGTCATCAAGCCTATCCAGAAGACGGCGCTCCATTGCGGACGGCGCTGGACGCGCTTTTCCCCCGCGACCATAACCTCCCCGCCGCCCGCGACGCCCCCGACCACTTGCGTCCGAACGCACAGGCGACTGCTGGCGAGACGAGCCCAGCTGACGCTGGCGTTCAGGGGAACGGACCACGCGACGAGGAGAGTCGAGCCGTGGACGCTTCGAGGGACGTGGCAAACGCGGAGGCGATCGAGGACGGGACGACTGGCGTACGGGCGAACGGTGACGAGAATGAGGGCGAGCGGGCGAACGGTGGCGGTGTGACCTGCGATCACGCGAACGACTCCGTGACGCCACGCGACGAGGCGAACGCGGCGACCGCGGGCCAGCGTGAAGACCTTCCCTGCGGCTCTCCCGCCTATCGCCGCGAATCACAGATGAACGTCGGCGAGGGGAATGTTCCTGGTGCGCCACACCCACTCCGCCGTAGCGCTCGGCGGACGCCGCGTGAGCAGGCTCCGGCTGAGGCAGGGACCGGCCCCCGCGCGAGGTCAGAGCGCGCTGCTGATCTTCGAAACGACGGCGGATCCGATCCGCAGACGCCGGCGGCGCGACAGGCACGCTCGCGGCAGGGCGCGCAGGAGGAAGCGGGCGGGGAGCTGGATCGCTCTCCGCGGTTCGCCCCAAGGCAGGAGCTTCAAGGGAACTCATCGGTACGTCGGGAAGAGGGCGCGCGGACACTCAGCGGCCGACAAGTCGGCGGAAGAACAGCAGGCCGCGGAAGGAGAGCTGCGGGACGCGGGGGGAGAGCACGTGGGGGTGGACCGGAAAACGTGTACCAGCAGGCGGGGAGGCGGGCTTTAAACGAGATGAGCGGTGATAATGAAACCTCCACTTCAGACAGTAGCTTTGTAGCAGCCGAGTCCACTGACTCGACTTCCAGCTCTGAGTCCTTGGACGACGAGCAGCTTCAGACTCCTGCTCGAGCGGGCAGAGCAGCAGCAGCAGCATCTCACATGGCGGGGGGAGCTGCAGCAGTGAGATCCATTAGGAGGGGTCCCCCAACACCAACCCGAGCCGCATCAGGCAACATTGTAACTGCACCAATCCCAACCACGAATTCCCACATTCAGACCCCTAGCCAGGCCGGACATCAATCTGCACCTGGCGGTAACCCCGTCCCAACCCAAGCCCCAGAGGAGAAATCCCCAGAATCACTCGCCAAGGACGACACGCTATTCGCCAGCGTGTCAAACTGGGATCTGACGAAATTGCGTGACTCTCGCCACGCACCTCTTTCCCGTCACCTCCCACCAGACCCACGCAAACTTTTCGCCACAGCTCTGTTGGTTCCGCTGCTGCGCTTGGCGAAATATCCAGACTCACCTTCTGCATGGACGGTCGTCCTGTTTCTCGCTCGATTAACACTTCGCCAGCTGTCACCTAGGCGCCCAGACTGGAAGGCTGTCAGTGCCCGCCTTCGTCAGTTTCTGTCTGGAGAATGGGACAAATTATACACTGAAACAGTGGGTTCACTGTCGTGGCTCCAACCACCCAGACACCAGCCCGATGACATTGGTGTCATCGCTAGGGCAGAGGGGTTGGCACGACGTGGCAGCCTACGACGCGCCGTGATGGCACTTGAAGCCACGCCAGTCAGCACCCCCTCTCCAACTGTGCTGGAGGCCCTGCGCGCCAAGCACCCACCTGCGCCCGCCTCCCCACCTGACTGGAACTTTCCAGAACCTGACCCTCACCTATCGGCACCGTTTGCTGTCTTCTCCAAGGTGCTGGGAAGCTGCGAGATGGGGGTGGGAGCGGGCCCCTCAGGAACAACTTTCGAACACTTACGCGATGCAGCGCTGATCAACCACTCCGTTGGGAAACACCTGCACGCGCTAGTCAACACGATATTAACAGGAAAATTACCTCCTGCGGTGGCTGAGCTCCTCACCGCCTCAAGATTGATTGCCCTGAGCAAGCCCGATGGGGGGACGCGACCAATTGCCATCGGCGAGAGCATAACACGCCTGGCAGCTAAGACGGCGCTTACTTTGACTGCAGGGGCCGCTCGTGTATTCTTCCTACCGCACCAGTTCGGCGTGGCAGTCCCTGGCGGGGCGGAGGCGATTATCCACATCACACGCACGTACCTCACGGTGAACACAGGAGCTTTGGTCCTACAGGCTGATCTGGCGAACGCATTTAACAGCGTTAACCGCGACGCCATCATCACATCTCTTCGGGACTCCTCTCTCGCTTCACTTTTACCGTTAGTTAAACTGCTGTACGGCCTTCCTTCGGCTCTATGTCTGGACGCTGGCTTCTCACACCCACCTCTGCTGAGCGAGACCGGGGTGCGGCAGGGAGATCCTCTCGGCCCGTTGCTGTTCGCTGCCGCCATACACCCAGCGCTGACGAAAACGGCGCTCAGCTTCCCCTCCGTGGTCTGTCTAGCCTATGCGGACGACGTAACTTTTCTTGGGGATGCAGCCATGTGCGCGGCGGCATTTGAGGACTTCACAGGAAACCTCGGGGAGATCGGGCTGCGCCACAACCCAGCCAAGTGCGCGGCCTGGTCTCAGGCTGGCCAGCAGGGAGCAGCGCTTCCAGTGGGCGTACCTTTCACAGAAGATGGGGTGAAGGTGCTTGGCAGCTTCATCGGTGGCAGCGACGCAACCGCCGCGTTCCTACGTGCCAGCCTCGACACCATGGGAGTGCCGCTGCCCTTAATCGCGCGGATGGAGCCGCAGCTGGCTTCCCTCCTGCTCTCACGGTGCATCTCACGGCGGATCGCTTACGTCGCCCGCACCACGCCGCTTTCGGCCCTGCCAGTCGAGGAGTGGTCAGACTGGGGTAAAAAGCTGTTTGAGACGTTGCTGACTACCTGCGGCATTCGCCACCCACGGGGGGAGGCCGAGATTTCACGTACCTGGGCGCAAGCGTCACTCCCCATCTCGCTCGGTGGTTTGGGACTCACAGACCCTTCGGTGGAGGGTCGTGTTGGGTTCCTTGCAAGCTACACGCAAGCGCAGCACCTGCTCACCTCCATTGATGAGTCGGCCGTCGGCGCCTTGGCGGAAACGCGGATCCAGATGGTGGGGCCCTTCATCAACACGTCCCCGCTCTTTGACTGGTTGGAGAGGTGTGAGGAGTCACTGCCGGACGATGGGAAGGAGCTGCTGCAGAGCGATCGGGCTAATCCCAAGGGCGCCAAGCTGCAGCATGGGCTGGCAATCGCGGTACACGGACTGCGCTACGCGGAGCAGGTGCAGGCTACACGCATCATGCCACTCAACCCACTAAGCGGGCACACTCAGCGCATGCTTTCACTCTCAGGGTATGGGGCAGGAGACTGGCTCAACGCGGTCCCCTTCAACTCGACACTGCGGCTTGCCCCGGCTCACTTTGCGCATGCGCTGCAGTTCAGGATGGGGTTACCCTCCTCGGCACCTGGCGCGTGTGACTGCCGCAATAAGACGGCAATCCTTGACAGGCGCCTGCCCAACCACCTGCTGCGCTGCGACACGGGGAAGGGGCGGACCAACACGCACAATGAGTTGCGCGATGCGTGTGTACACATGGCCGCCGACGCTGACTTCATGACTCACAGCGAAACGACTACGTTCTGCCCCGTCACTCTGAAGAAAGCCGACATTGCGATCCGGGACAAGTCCTCATTAGCGGTGTGGATAGGGGACGTGACCATCACGGACCCCATCAGCACACGGGATCCCAACGCGGTCAAGGGCAGGGGATGGGCGGCCAGGGAGGCGGCGGAGAAGAAGATCTCCGACTACGAGGGCTCAACGGCCTCGTGGGTCGGGTTCTTCCCCCTTGCCGTTGATACCTATGGCTGTCCTTGCGCGGAGGTCCCTCAATTCCTCAAACTTCTGGCCGACACCGGCGCGCGCCGGCTCTTCAACGCGGCCCCCTCATCTTACCAGGCAACAAAGCTGCTGCACCAGTTCCGCCAGCGGTGGTCCGTGGCGCTGCAGCGGGCGCAGTCAGTGAGCTTCATGACGAAGTGCAACTACGCGGCTCAGGTGGAGAACCCACCTGTGGCGCTGCCGGGCGAAGGAATGTCCCTCGGGGACTGCCTTGCCATCCTGGAGCCGGCATTGGAGCTGCCTTAGAGGGTGAAGGAGGGTAGGTAGGATGTGGGGGTTTTAGAAGCTGAGATGCATTGCTTCTTATATCCTTGTGCATGTCTGTACCTTGCTCGGATCTAATACACGGACCGCTTGAGAGAGTGATTAAGATTGAAAACCATATTGCCACGCTTACGCCTGAGGTCGAGTGTCTCGGTCCAGATTAGGCCAGAAGTCTCGGTTCTCATCAGCCACCTTGTCGCCTCGCCTCACGTGGACTGCCACGTAGTACCATCCCATGGACGCTGAGATTCGATTCGCCACGCGAATCAGCGACTGCGATCGCCGCAGCAATTTGTAATTCCGCCCCAGCCGCTTCTGTTGCCGTTACGAGTGGGGGGGCAGCACGTAAGACGGACGGCAGAGCAGCGGCGTGAGGGGAGAGGGAGGTGGATGCGGGGAGAGGGAGGTGGTAGCGGGGAGAGGGAGGTGGATGCGGGGAGAGGGAGGAGGAATGGGGAAGAGGGGAATGCGGAAGGAGACACAACACAAAGATGAAAAATGGGTCGCACATGGCTGGGGGAAAGAACGAAATGGCCCAGTAGAAAGAAGAGAAGGCCTTTTATGAAGAGAAACGAGAGCGCACACGAGGTCTAAAAATTGCCCCTTTTCTTTCTCTGTTCTCTCAGAAACTATGCGGCTGTCGATGGGGACCAGCAGTCCAACACTATTCGCTAACCTGGAAGTGGAAAATGGAGACGAGAGTCCTGCGGACACAAGAGGAACTGCGAGGGACATGGATTCATGTTGATGAAGGGCTCCTCGTTTCCAGCAGCTTCTTGCATTGCCCTCGTCAACCGCCGGCCCCGGGGCTCGAGCCTGCCCGAATCCTCATGACCTTAGAGACGTCTCAAATATAACTGTGGCCTGTTTTCCTTGGCTCCTATGCTCCACGTTACTCCCTCCTTCTCCTTCGAGACATGACTCACCTTATTCTCCTCCTGCTGGCAGATTTGGTACGTATACTCATCGTCCCTCAGCCGCCGAACCAACAGCGTCGCCCGAGCCGCCTCCCTCGCCACGCGATCGGTGCTGTTCCAAGGCCCATATTCTGCCACCGACACGCCCTTCTCCTTACGGAACCGCGGCCATATTTCTCCGAAGCGCTCCTTAAAATCTGTATCGAAGATAAGCGGTTGGAGCTTGGGCCACTCGTCCGTTTCGTAATACAGCTGCATAGGCCGCTCCTCGCGCTTGCCACTCATGGAATGGTATTTACTCGTGCAGTACAGCATAGGCACTACCATAGTGCGTTTTAAGTACTTCGCTTCAGCCGCAGCGCATAGGAAACTCCATCTCCAGTGCGACTCGCCAGCACATGAGTCCGTGTCGCGTGCGCCAACTACCATGTAATACCGCTCCGCCGTCGCCGCCACTGTTCGAGCCGCTGGAACAGCCGTCGCCTGCGACGACGCCGGTCGTCGCACGGGTGCGATAAGGTCGTGAGCCTGTCGTTGTCGGGTTGCGGGTTGAGCCAAACCCACTGGTATCGCGGCATCATCGGACGAAAGCTCGTCAACGAGAGGAATTGAGTTGCTCACTGCCTCAGGCGCATCAGCCGTACTGTTAGTACTTCTCCTTCGCGGCTCGTCACTTCGACCCATCTCGGCTTTTCTCAGCAGCCCGTCGCGGCGGCCTGTCGCAATGTTCTTGGCATTGGTCAGTCGCTCGGGGTCGAAGACGAAGCGACGACGACCGTGCGACCACGGCGATCCTCTGGAAATATGTGCGACCATGCGAGCAGCGAGGCACATCCCGAGCAAAACCGCTGCGACGAAAGCGAGAGAGCGTGCCCTAGGGACTGGCCACTTGCCGCTTCCTTCATTATTCATCCATAAGCCACCCGTTTCTGCTGAAAGTATGCTTCCTCGAGCTGCCCTCCAGCCGCCATTTATTCCAGTTACAGCGGTCGCGTTAAACCGGTCTGATAGACGTAGAGGTGGGTTGGACGAGTTCTTATGCCGAGAGGGCGTTCTAACGGGGAACCCTAGCGCTTTTACCGCCATCGAGAAGTTGTAGTCGCAGCGAATTTGCTCTCGCTGATAATCGATTAGACGGCACCCTAGTGTAGCAATATCAGAAGGAAAGCCTGACCAACTAAGGGAGAGGGGACGAGACTTTCAGTTTGACGAACCCGGGTAGGTACATTGGAGACTATGCGAACCAACTAACCCTACAATGGCCGCTGCCACCCTGTACTAATGGCAGGGCGTTTATTAAGTTGAATTAGGTAGTGCAAGACGCCAATAAGGAGGAACAATCACGTTCCCCCCTTGCACCTGGAGTCCTGGACTCATTTTGTGCAACGATGGTTGGGTCGAGACGAAATTGTTGAACCAGCGTGGAACATCTAATCGCTCTACACCGTGCAATATGTTACTGCAACCCATATTACGCAAATTAACCGTGCACAAGTCTGACTTGGGGACCCTCAGCAGCAGGAAATGGGGAGCGAGCTCACTGTTGTGATCGTCGAGTCGGCTAGGGGAGATTTGCAGAAATGGTGCCGCGTACCAGCCGCCATCGAGGTCAACAACATCCAGAACACGCGATTCGACACTCGTCCGGCAACGCAATTCGGCCATGGAGATCGTGGTGTCAAGAGTGGTGGTGACGTGTCGTGTTACGCTGGGGTGTTTTGACTGGGTTTAAGGTTTAAGGTTTTATTGAGGTCGTGACCTGTTTACAAACATGCAGTCAACTAGATAAGGATGCAAGCTATTGCTAGGCTCCCGCCAGGGGAGCACGTACGAACACGTCATCCTCCTGCCACGAGGGCAGAGGCGCCAGGAGCGCAAATCTAGCAGGCACGTGGTTGGACGGCGGAGCTATGGGGGGCGGAAAGAATCGTCGAGGAGCCACGTAGCCTTGAGTTCGGGGTGAATGGCGGGGCAGTTGGGTTCGGGGAAGATGAAGAACCGATGAAGTGAGGCCAGCTTGATCCGATTCGCTGCCCGTTGCCGTTTTTTCTTGGAACCATTGGAGGATCGCCAGAGGAGGATTTTGAAGGCGAGAAGGAACAGATTGAGCGCTGTGCTGAGGGCTCCGAAGGTGTTGTAAGGGGTTTGTCGGTATCTGTGACTGCACCGCGCGTTCCAAATTACTCTAGCGGCTGCTCCAACCAGCAGGCTCCACGGGGCAGATTGGCCTGCTCCCGACTGAAGAGGGAAAAGGGTCAACGGAGGTGAAGTGGAAATGCCCAAATGTGCGCGCGCGGTCCGTTGGAGCGCTTCGGTGATAGGTCTAGCAACCCCGCATTCGAAAAACAGATGCGGAAGTGTCTCTATGACTCCTTGGCTGCAGCCAGAGCAGACCCCCTTGTCTGCCGCGAAGAAGTACCGAGAGCCAGTGGGCAGAGCTCGGGAGTAAAGCCGAAAAAGGATGTCCCGCTGAGAGGAGGGCTGTTCTGTTAGGAAATCATGGGTGTAATCAGGAATCATTTGGGGGCCCGGAGTCGGAAGGATGGTTAGCCATCGTTGCGGATGAGGCAGTTGTTGTGCTGAGTAAGATAAGTCGCGGATTTTGGCCAGCGACGGCGCTCCTTCTTGCAGGATCTCGAGTCGTGCTGCTAAACCGGCTCCCGAGCAGTAAGTTCCTCCGAGCCACCGATCCGACACGAAGACTGGTACGGTAGCCCGAACTTCTAGCCGTCGCCTAGCCACTGCTTCCTTGCCTATCCTGCCGGTAGGGTCAACCTCGTAAACATTCGCGTAGAAGGATTCGTCGGTGAGAATTTGATCAACCTCGAAAGCTTGCTGGGGAGGGGCGTCCATTTCTGCCGCGAGAATGACCCAGTCCCCGTACTCGATCGGAACCAGACTGTGTGAGGAAGCAAGCGCTGCCCACCATTCCGAGGGCATGGCGTGGTAGATTTCTTTGATGATGCGGCGACTGCACGGGTACTCCTTAGGCGGGTATTGTTCCTTGATCTCGGCCTCCGTCAGCCGCCGTGCCCCGAGGTCATTACGTCGGACGATGTGTCCGA